CAAATAACTAAAACAATTAGCTACCGAAAACGACACTTACTAAAGCAACAAAAACAACTAACAACTACTAATTTCTACAAGTCCCCACACCACACTTAGATCATGCATTGTCTTCAGTGCATGCACAAAGTGACAAAACAAGAAAAAGGAGTAGGGTGCAAGGGAACTCCCTGATCAAGCAGCTTCTTCATCATCTGACGCTCTCCACTCTTCATCATGTTCATCATCATCATCGTCCTCACCATCTGACTGCTCCGGCTCGGCCTCAGACTGCTCAGATGTGTTGATATCCTCATCATCGGGATGTCTGTATCCATCTCCTAACCCAACTAGCTGCTAGGCATGAGCATTGAGCGGGTACCGCTCTCCAATGCAATCCTCTCCTCAGATATGGCCGGCCGACCCCCTATCCTCAGCTGCAAATCCATCATCCCATAGATATGGGCCATAAAACTATCATCACGAGCATTGCGCTCAGCACCTGTCAATGATGGCATGCCAATCTCGTCTTTCAGCCGGAGACTAGTAATGTTCATTTGTCGGATAGGCTGATCGATGGTGTGGTCAAACTCGGGCTCCTCCTCAACCTCCTCGTGCCTTAAGAACTGAGTCAAAAATTTGGCAATGTCATTCGATCGAACTTCTTACTCCTTCTTACTGATGACATCTGGTAGCGAATCAGATGATCCACATTCACCCTTTGACCTGTCATGAGGAAGTAGAGCACACAGGTCCTCTCACGGCTAATGAGCGTATCATGATTGCACGATAGGAGCCGTGCATTTATCAGTTTCAGCCACACTTGAGTCTCCGCCTTCATCTTCTTCTTAGGGAATCTCTTGTGCCGATTTTTTAAACTTATCCCGGACCCATGCTGCCGTAGAGTCGACACCACAGAGCGTGTGTCTCCGCTCTCTATATGTAGGACATCAAATGAATTGGTCCAATGGCTCCACAGGAACATCTAGCGCACCTAAAAAGTTACATATGGTCGTGGCTGAAAAATCTATCAAACGTCTACAAATTGGCACCAGTTGTTCAGTATCCTGTGGACCAAACCCTGCATAAAATTCCCGAACTAAATTGAGATTAGTGTCCCCTGTGTTCTTCAATACATAGCTTAACCCCAAATCCTAGATGCCTCTCCAAATTGCCTGATACTTTTCTTTCAGGCTGCATTCCTGAATAGCTACTTTCGGATGGACATGTTTAAGCCTACAGCGCCTGTACCAATCTTTCGTATGCGGGGGTATGTTGTTGATGTCAAACTCCTGTTGTCCTTGGGGTTGTGGACGCATAGCTGCTACAGCTGCCACAGCTTGTGCTCCACTAAGACTAGGGGTAGTTTCTCCCCCTTTTCTCTTCTTTGGGGGAGGTGCGGTGGTCGTCTTTGCTTTAGCCGAAGTAGTTGTAGTGGCCTTTCCTTTGCCTGTGTCTTTTCTTGGAGGCATCTTCGTTCCTGGCGTCGCCACGCCCTTTACCTGGCCTTACTTAGGCGTCACCAGCCCCGCGCGAGCCTTGCCTGGACTTAAACCAGGCGACACCAGCTCCAGCGCCTGGTGTACCTGGCTTTACCCAGGTGTTGCCAACGCCAGCCTTGCCTGGCCTTAAACCAGGCGACGCCAGCTCCGACGCTTGGTGTACTTGGCTTTGCCCCAGGTGGCGCCAGGCTTATCGCCTGGTGTCCTTCAGGTGACGCTGAAACCTGCTCGACCTGCCCAAAATCACCTGCAAAGTTGTTAGTACCTAAAAACGGAAAGAAAAATTCGAACTATACTAAAAATCAACTAAGAATTGGGTTGCCTCCCAACGAGCGCCTTAGTTAACATCGTGGCACGGCGAATACAACAGTCCTTTGGGTTGCCTCCCATGAAGCGCCTGATTTAACGTCGCAGCACGACGCAGGTAAGCACAGTTAAGGCACGCTCAACATCGGTGGCTTGAGCAAATGAGTCACCGACACTACTTTTGCGTCTTCCATGCCGATATAATGTTCTAATCTGTGCCCATTGACTCTGAACTTGCGAGAGTTATTTTCCGCAGCAATCTCTATAGCACCAGTGGGATGAATCTCTACCACACGAAATGGTCTTGACCATCTTGACTTTAATTTTCCTGAAAATAACCTCAGTCTTGAATTGTATAGCAATACCCTATCTCCGAGTTTAAAACTCCGCTCAAGAATATTCTTGTCATGTATCATCTTCATTCTGTCCTTGTATAGTCTTGTTCTCTGAAAAGCGTGGTATCGAAACTCATCAAGCTCGTGCAACTCTGTGACTTTACTTGTACCCGCAGCTTCTATATCAAGATTCAACTGCCTCAATGCCCACAAAGCTCTATGCTCCAACTCCACTGGTTAGTGACACACCTTCCCAAACACCAACTTGTACGGTGACATGCCGATCAGAGTTTTGAAAGCGGTACGATAGGCCCAGAGTGCATCATCTAACTTTCTTACCCAATACGTTCTTGTAGCATTCACAGTCTTTGTCAACATGCTCTTTATCTCTCAGTTCGAAACTTCCACTTACCCACTCGTTTGTGGATATATGGGGTGGCAACCTTGTGGAGTACATCATAGTTTTGTAACAACTTTGCGAAGGCTTGATTACAGATGTGAGTGCCTCCATCACTGATTATTGCACGTGGAGTGCCAAATCGAGTGAATGTATTCTTTCTCAAAAAAGCAATTACCCCCCTTGCATCATTTGTAGGGAGCGTTGTAGCCTCCACACATTTGGACACGTAGTCCACAGCAACGAGTATGTACTTGTCTCCATATGAGCTAATGAAATGCCCCATGAAATCGGTTCCCCATACATCAAACACTTCAACCTCCTAAATTGGGTTCATGGGTATCTCATGTCGGCGGTAAATATTCCCGGTTCGTTGGCATACATCACAACCTTTCACCCATAAGTGTGCAACAATATGGTGACGCGTGACACGCCTGCAAAATAGAAGATTGGTCTATCTCGGGGATACATCTCCGGATCATGTTATCAACATAAATCCTGAACAGATAATATAGGCGACAATCACGAATTTTTTTTTTCTTTTGGACAGAGGAAAGGTCATAAGGAACAATACCGCTCACCAGGTAGTCTGCAATGTCAGTATACCTTGGCTCTACCTCAAGACTCGTGGCTAATAGTTGTTCATCCAGGAAAGTCTCCACAGTCTCTTCCACCTCAACCTTCTTCTCGGCTCCTTCCAGCCTAGACAAGTGATTAGCCACTTGGTTCTCCGTTCCCTTTCGGTCATGGATTTCCAAGTCAATATTCCTGCAGCAGTAGCACCCATCGAATCATGCGCGGCTTTGACTCCTTCTTCTCGATTAAGTACCTGAGAGCAGCATGGTCAGTATAAACAATTACCTTCGAGCCTATCATGTATGACCTGAATTTGTCAAATGCGAACACCATTGCTAGCATCTCCTTCTTGGTCACTGTGTAATTTAGCCGGGCACCACTCAGAGTTCTACATGCATAGTATATTGGATGCATGACTTTGTCTTTTCGCTGCCCAAGAACTGCTCCCACAGCATAGTCACCCGCATCACACATCAGCTCAAATGGTTGCTTCCAGTCAGGGGCAACTATGATAGGTGTTGTTACCAGTCTCTTTTTCAATTCATGAAACGCTACCCTGCAGTCATCAGAAAACACAAAAGGGTGATCTTTTTCAAGCAATTTACACAAGGGGTTAGCAATTTTGGAAAAATCTTTTATAAATCTCCTATAGAAACCGGCGTGCCTAATGAAACTTCTTATTGCTTTGACGGAAGTGGGTGGTGGAAGCTTTTTGATCATATCAACCATTGCACGATCTACCTCAAAGCCTTTACTCGACAGTAGGTGCCCCAAGACTACACTTTCTTGTACCATGAAATGGCACTTTTCCCAGTTAAGTACCAGGTTAGTCTCGATACACCTCTTCAATACTCTTCTCAAGTTTATAAGGCAATCATCGAATGTGTTCCCCACCACTGAGAGGTCATCCATGAAAACCTCCATTATTTCCTCTACCATATCTGTGAAGATGGCCTCATGCACCTTTGGAATGTGGCAGGAACATTGCATAAGCCAAACTGCATTCTCTGAAAAGCATAGATTCCATAGGGGCAGGTGAACGATGTTTTCTCTCTGTCCTCCGGTGCAATTGAGATCTGATTATACCCCGAGTACCCATCCAGAAAGCAGAAGTGGATCCTCCCTGCCATTCTGTCTATCATCTGATCAATGAATGGCAGTAGGAAATGGTCTTTCCGGGTAGCTATGTTCAACTTTCTGTAATCCATACAGATTCGCCAACATGTGACTGTTCGTGTTGAGATCAACTCGTTCTTCTCATTTTTCACTACCGTCATACCGCCCTTCTTTGGCACACACTGAACTGGGCTGACCCAATTACTGTCAGAGATGGGGAATATGATTCTCGCATCTAACCACTTAATCATTTCTTTCTTCACTATTTCTTTTATGTTGGGGTTCAGCCTCGTTGATGTTCTCTGGAAGGTTTGTGCCCATCTTCCAGTAAAATCTTATACATACAGAAGGTCGGGCTGATACCCGTAATGTCTCTAATGGTCCAACCAATTGCAGTTTTGCACTCCATCAATACCTGCAAACCTGTTCTGCCTGCACATCTAACAAACTAGATGAGAAAATATCAGGTAAAGTTGAGTTAGGTCCCAAGAAAGCATACCTGAGATGAGGTGGTAAGGGATTCAGTTCCAACTTTGGTGGTTCTTCTATCGACGGCTTAGCTGGAGGAGTTTTCCTTTCTTCTAAGTGCAAAGTCTCAAATTCGAGCTCCCTTCTCCCAAAACATTGGCCTTCAAGAGCAAGTACCCACTCCGCCAAGTCTTCTCCGGTTGCTCCATCTAAGTTCATGAGACAGGCTACTAGAGGGTCTTTAGTGTTCAATGTCTTATCTTCCTCCTCAAAAATTGCATCCACGACTTTAATTAGAGAGAACTTAGGAAATTCACTTGGTCACCGCATAGATTTATGCACGTTGAATGTTATTTCTTCATAATTTAATCTCATTTTGAGCTCTCCAGTTTCACTGTCACTTAAAGCTCTCCCAGTGGACAAGAATGGTCGTCCGAAAATTATGGAAATCTCCTCGTCAACCTGAAAGTCAAGAATGACTAAATCTGTTGGGAACACAAACTTCCCAACCTGTACTAATACATCATCAAGGATACCAGAGGGTCTCTTCACTGTCCGGTCAGCCAGTTGTAGTAACATGGACGTGGATCTAGCTCTTCCAATGCCTAACCTTTTGTAGATAGCCAGGGGCATCAAGTTTATGCTTGCCCCAAAATCACAAAGTGCCTTAGCAAACACATAGTTACATATTGTGCATGGAATTGTGAAACTTCCTGGGTCAGACAGCTTATCAGCTATGGGTCTCGTCACAACAGCACTACAAGTCTGAGTCAGTGTAACCGTAGCAAAGTCTTCAAAGTCGAACTTCCGAGACATCAAGTCCTTCATCATTTTTGCATAACCAGGCATCTCCTTTAAGGCATCAATCAATGGAATGTTCACCTAAATTTGCTTCAACATCTTCAAGAATTTCTTATACTGCTCATCTTTCTGATCCTTGGCCAATCTCTGTGGGAATGGTGTTGGAGGTCACTTCTTCCCTGTGATTTGAGTTTTATCTTGCTCAGGCATTGCTTCAACTATCGTTTCTTGTGCTACATCAGTCTCTTTCGTAACCTCTTTTTCTTTGTTGGTGTTCTCTTGTGCATGTTGTACCGTCACCTCAGTTAACCCTATTGAATCATCTATCTCAATGGGCACTGGCACAAGTATTTCTGTAGGTCGGCTTTCACGAGAAATATCTCGCTCCAGATCTAGCTCTCCACCATTTTGTAGACTCACCGCCATAAGATGTTTCGGGCCCTGCTCTTTTGGATTGATTTGTGTGTCTGTAGGTAACGTCCCTTGGGGATGATTATGTAGAGCCATCAAAATTTGCCCTAACTAAATCTCAATACCCTTTATTGTTTATTCATGTGAGTCTACTGATGATAGGCTATAATTACGTATTTTAGTCGATTATTACACTCTAATTTACTGCACTTTAGTTGAGTTTGCGCTTTAATCGCTAGTGTTTTGTACTAATCGTGTGTTTTATGCCTTGTAGGTGTGATTCTGAGCTATATAGATGTTATGGAATGAATTTAAGTGATTTGAAGCTTTGAAGTCTAAGTAAAAGCTCAAGGAACTAAGCCGGGATCGTGTTCGGGGGTCAAATTTGATAGTTGAGAACAAACGAAGACTCGAGTAGGCATATTGCGCACTGTCAAGTAAAATGAACATAACTTTTTGCTCAGAACTCCATTTGGGCTCCACAATATATGGTTAGAAAGCTAGCTCAAAGGGCTACAACGTTTATGTTTTATGTTTTTCCAAATTCCAAATGGAACAGGGTGAAAAACCGCGGTTATGGTAGGACCGCGGCAGAGCAGAGCTGCAGATTCAGAGAACCTCTTTGGCCGTGGTCCTGGCGTAACCGCGGTGGGACCGCGGCAGGACACGTAAATTTCAGGGACCAAAGTGCAAAACACGGGATTTTAAGCCCTAAACCCTATATTAAACGTAGGAGGCCGGCCAAGAACAAAGAGGGGACATATTTTGGACACAAATTAGACCTAAGGAGGCAAGAACATATTGAGAGCAAGGCGGGGAATTCTTCAACTAATGAAATCAGGAGAAAGGTGCACTATTTTGAACAAGTAAAAGCCACTTGAATTGGAAAAAAATATAGTTATATAGGTGTAAAAAAAAAGTGTTTCTTTGATAAGTGGTGGCTCTTGACGTAAGTGTGCTTAAAGAAGAATGGGGTAATTTACATTGATGTGAAGGTGGAATTTTGGTTTGACATAAGTATGGGTTTTAAATGTTAAAATGTATGTATTAAAGTGCTGAAGGAGGTGTAGTCACTCTTATATCTAAATGTATCCTACCCGTCCCGTAGCCTACATTACAACCAAATAAAGTCCTAATTGATCCAAGATTGAATGAGCTCGATTAGTGGAGTAGTACACTACGGGCAAGCTTATGGTGCATCTTTTGTGGCATATGAATGTTATTTCTGAGAGTGAGTGAATTCTTTCTATCTTGAGTTCCTAAGTGTTCTTAAATTTTATTGTGTGGAACTACTCTCTTGTATTGTGTGAGAGCACTTGATTCATGAAGGAAAGGTAATGTCAGTGACCTCTATGTTAGAGTAAGTAGGTGAGTTGTGAATAATGCGTGGCACTTGTGAGTCAAATCTTGAGGTGAAGATGTTACGCTTTTGTGCTTAGTCTATTTTAAATACTCTTGGTGTGCTGCGTTAGGAGAATTGTTTAAAAAGGTCGTGCTATAAAAAAAAGTGTAGTTTGATTGCTCGAGGACGAGCAATGGTGTATGTGTGGGGTGTTGATGATAGGCTATAATTACGTACTTTAGTCGCTTATTACACTCTAATTTACTGCACTTTAGTTGAGTTTGCGCTTTAATCGCTAGTGTTTTGTACTAATTGTGTGTTTTATGCCTTGGAGGTGTGATTCCGAGCTTTATAGATGTTATGGAATGAATTTAAGTGATTTGAAGCTTTGAAGTCTTAGTAAAAGCTCAAGGAACTAAGCCGGGATCATGTTCGGGGGTCAAATTTGATAGTTGAGAACAAACGAAGACTCGAGTAGGCATATTGCGCACTGTCAAGTAAAATGAACATAACTTTTTGCTCAGAACTCTGTTTGGTCTCCACAATATATGGTTAGAAATATAGCTTAAAGGGCTACAACTTTTATGTTTTACGCTTTTTCAAATTTCAAACGGAACAGGGTGAAAAACCGCGGTTACGGTAGGACCGCGGCATAGCAGAGCTGCAGATTCAGAGGACCTCTTTGGCCGCGGTCCTGGCGTAACCGCCGTGGGACCGTGGCAGGACACGTAATTCAGGGACCAAAGTGAAAAACACGGGATTTTAAGCCCTAAACCCTATATTAAACGTAGGAGGCCGGCCAAGAAGAAAGAGGGGACATATTTTGGACACAAATTAGACCTAAGGAGGCAAGAACATATTGAGAGCAAGGCGGGGAATTCTTCAACTAATGAAATCAGGAGAAAGGTGCACTATTTTGAACAAGTAAAAGCCACTTGAATTGGAAAAAAATATAGTTATATAGGTGTAAAAAAAAAGTGTTTCTTTGATAAGTGGTGGCTCTTGACGTAAGTGTGCTTAAAGAAGAATGGGGTAATTTACATTGATGTGAAGGTGGAATTTTGGTTTGACATAAGTATGGGGTTTAAATGTTAAAATGTATGTATTAAAGTGCTGAAGGAGGTGTAGTCACTCTTATATCTAAATGTATCCTACCCGTCCCGTAGCCTACATTACAACCAAATAAAGTCCTAATTGATCCAAGATTGAATGAGCTCGATTAGTGGAGTAGTACACTACGGGCAAGCTTATGGTGCATCTTTTGTGGCATATGAATGTTATTTCTGAGAGTGAGTGAATTCTTTCTATCTTGAGTTCCTAAGTGTTCTTAAATTTTATTGTGTGGAACTACTCTCTTGTATTGTGTGAGAGCACTTGATTCATGAAGGAAAGGTAATGTCACTGACCTCTATGTTAGAGTAAGTAGGTGAGTTGTGAATAATGCGTGGCACTTGTGAGTCAAATCTTGAGGTGAAGATGTTACGCTTTTGTGCTTAGTCTATTTTAAATACTCTTGGTGTGCTGCGTTAGGAGAATTGTTTAAAAAGGTCGTGTCTATAAAAAAAAAGTGTAGTTTGATTGCTCGAGGACGAGCAATGGTGTATGTGTGGGGTGTTGATGATAGGCTATAATTACGTACTTTAGTCGCTTATTACACTCTAATTTACTGCACTTTAGTTGAGTTTGCGCTTTAATCGCTAGTGTTTTGTACTAATTGTGTGTTTTATGCCTTGGAGGTGTGATTCCGAGCTTTATAGATGTTATGTAATGAATTTAAGTGATTTGAAGCTTTGAAGTCTTAGTAAAAGCTCAAGGAACTAAGCCGGGATCATGTTCGGGGGTCAAATTTGATAGTTGAGAACAAACGAAGACTCGAGTAGGCATATTGCGCACTGTCTAGTAAAATGCACATAACGTTTTGCTCAGAACTTCATTTGGGCTCCACAATTTATGGTTGGAAAGATAACTCAAAGGGCTACAACTTTGATGTTTTATGTTTTTCCAAATTGCAAACGGAACAGGGTGAAAAACCACGGTTACGGTAGGACCGCAGTAAATCAGAGCTGCAGATTCAGAGGACCTCTTTGGCCGCGGTCCTGGCGTAACCGTGGTGGGACCGCGGCAGGACACGTAAATTTGAGGGACCAAAGTGCAAAACACGGGATTTTAAGCCCTAAACCCTATATTAAACGTAGGAGGCCGGCCAAGAACAAAGAGGGGACATATTTTGGACACAAATTAGACCTAAGGAGGCAAGAACACATTGAGAGCAAGGCGGGGAATTCTTCAACAATTTTTTCCTTCCTCTTCTTATTTTTCATTGTTGGTTATGACTTTTGATATTGTAGTTTTACATACTATTATGAATAGCTAATTTGTTATCTAAGGTTTTGGTGAAACCCGGTGGGGATGAATTGGTTGTTATATTAATATAGTTTTGAGTTGGTTGTTAATCTCTATTTGTTCAACTACGTTTTGATTTTGGTTAATTGAAAGGATCCTCAGTTAGCCGTTTCTATTTATTATGTATTTGCTTGAGAGAGAGTGCATATTTAGGTAGTTGTTTGAACAACATCACTCTCGGAGTATAGGCGAGAGTCATAACCGAGGGTTTAGAGGTTGGATTAGAGATAACGATACCTCGGATGCGATCTAAGTGAACTGTAATGCGAATCGAGATAGTGTAGCTTGAGATAGTGCGTCTAGTAAATTATCATAATTGCTTGAGAGAGATCTATGATAGCTGGAGAGTTCATGATTGATAGAGACAACTAATTCGAAGCTATAAGAAACATACAACTAAGGAAATCAACAACGGGGGAAACCATTACCCTATACCTTTATTCCAATTGTTTACAATTCAAGCATAGTTAGTTTTTAGCTGTTTAATTATTTTCAATCTTGTCTTCTTAGTGATATTAAACAGATACAGCTAAGCGTTAGTTCTCTGTGGGATTTGACTCCGGACTTATAGACCGGATTATATTTGCAGCGACTGCTTATCCTTTTTAGGACTAGAGTTGGGCGTGATCATCTACTCTTTCAGTTATTTTTCCAATGGACCCATCAGTTGCTGCATCATTCCTTTAAGTTCAGCAAACTCATCATCTTGTCTCACAATCTGGTGTTGTTGATAAGCCTGCTGATTTTGCTGGTTGTAACCTGTTGCCTTTGGTAAGGCACCACTTGGCCCTATGGTCGTATAGCTCCAGGATTCTTGATGTTATTATACTGCTGCTGTGCTGGTCTATATTGTTGATTCTATTGTCCCCAATTCTGACCACCTTGCCTCTGTCCCCCATAGTTGGCCGCACAGTTCATATCTTCCTGATATTGCTGGTTGTCACCTTTCCCACTCCACGAGCAAACATATGGTTGGTTAATGCATGGCGTACATAAGCCCCCATTGGTTGCGTCAACTATGTGTACCTGCTGCTTCTGGCTTGATTCATCTATCTTTTTGGTGAGGATACTCATTTGCGTCACCAGAGTGGCCATATTTTCAGCTATGGAGTTGTTTGGATCCAAAGCCACTGAATGAACTACAGGAGTGATATTAGAGTCTCTTGTCATCTATCCTGAGTTATGGGCCATCTTATCAAGTAGGATCTTGCTTTCTCTGAGTGTTTTGCTCAAAAATGCTCCACCTGCTGAAGCATCAACATTGGCCTTTAAGCAGTCTGCCAATCCTATGTAAAACCTCTGCCCCAACATCTGCTCCGGAATGTCATGATGTGGACACTTAACCAGCATACCCTGGAACCTCTCCCACGTTTCTTGTAATGTTTTTGTTGGTTTCTCCCTGAAGCTCAATATCTCATCAATTTGTTTAGCAATCTTATTGGGTGGGTAGAACTGGTTCACAAATTGCTTGATTAATTCCTCCCAAGTGGTGATGGAGTTTATGGGGAGTGAATTAAGCCAATTCCGAGCCTCTCCCGTCACCAAGAATGGAAACAACAATAGCTTTATTGCTTCCGGTGTCACATTAGGTTACCTTTGCGTGACACATATCGATAGGAAATTCTTTAGATGCTACTGAGGATCTTCAACGTATGACCCTGAGAACAGTCCCTTGTTCTGCAACAAATGTAGCATGTTGTCTGTGATTTAAAATGATTCTGCTTGTATCTGAGGGACTGCAATTGCGGTTGCTAGGTTGTCGACAGTGGGTTGTGCCCAATCATACAATGCTGCTTCTGGCACAAGAGGCACAACACCCTGATTGTTCGGGTCATTCGCATTGTTTCTGTTGTTTACTTCGTCTCCCATGTCTGGTTCGATTTGTTCTGTTGTTGTTTTCCTTTCTTGTTTGCACGATTCAGTACCTTGAAAACTTTCTCAGGATCTGATAATGCTTCGAACAATTACCAGTTCTTGAGAAGTTTCTAGGCATGCACATGTAATGCCCAAGACTACAAATTTTAGAATTTCAATGTATTTATTTTAAATTGAAGAAAATTGACTACACTAAGAATTTTAGCACTTCTTTTAGCTGCAATTAATAACACCGTTAATTTCCCGGCAACGGCGCCAATATTTGATCACGCCCAACTATGCCTTATAAAAAGGACTAAGCGGTCGTTGCAAATATTCCGATTAACAAGTTCGAAGTCGAATCCCACAGGGAATTAACCTATTAAACACAGCTATTGGACTCACACAAATTCATGTAATCAATCTTTAGAAACATTTAAGTAATAAATTGGATGTTACTAACTAAATAATACGTAATGAAAATGCAATAAATAATAACTAACTACGAACGGGTTGTACACACGAAATGGAATGATCTAAGGTTATGATTTCCCCTATTGTCGGAATCTTTTCCGCTGCGTTTTCTATAAATTTGCCTAAGTCTTCTCTACCGATCATGAGCACTCTGACTGTCGTAACTCTCTCCCAGAGTAATTACCACAATATACTAGACATATTCTCCTGAATTACGCTAGCTTGTCTTAAGTACAACTCACCGAGATCGCACCAAGGTTTCGTTATCCCTAATCCCACCTTTAAACCTTTTGTATTGATCCCTCATATACGTTAGGAGTGATGTTGTTCAACAACTACCTAAATATGCACTCTCTCCCGAGTAATACATACTAAATAGGCACAGTCGATTGAGGGCCCTTCAATCAACAACAATAATAATATAGTTGAACAAATAGAGATAATGCTACGGCAAATCTATATTAACGTAACAAGAAAATTATCCTCCAATAGGTTCCATCAAAACCCTAGATTAGGAGTTCAGCTACTCGTACTCATAGTAACAATATCCAAAGTATTTTGCATAATTGAATTACAAAGTAAGGATAAAGGGATGTAGAAATCGATGATTCTAACTCCAAACAGTTGTTCCACGAGCTATCCTTGCCTCCGGTTGCAAAAGTCCTTCAAAGTGGCATTTTTAGGTCTATTTATATGTTTAGGACAAGACCTAAATGTGTAGTTCAAATCCTAGTCAAGCCGGGAAATGAACTAAGTCTTCATAACTCGGACATGATCTCGCCCCAGGCCTGGCGTCGCCAGGCATAATGCCTGGTTAAAATTGGAATTTGCCTTGCCTCGCCAGTCTCTCGCCCAGTACAAGCCTGGCGTCGCCAGGGATATCGCCAGCTTCAAGCCTGGCGTCGCCAGGTCCTCTCATTCATTGTTCCCGCGCACGCTTTCGACTTGTAAGTTTCCTTTTTTCTCTACTTTCATCTCCAATTCACCTACACACAAAATGGACCCTGTTACGCGCAAAAAAAGTGTAATTTATCATTAAAGCGTACAAGGCGAATAATGTGCTAAACCATGAATTATAGCCACACATCAACCACACTGACAATATAAAGAATATTTACACCATCAGTGTAATTTGAATGGCTTTGTAGATTCTCACTTTATTTCCGAGTAATAATCAGGCTGGATAAAAGAAATTATATCTGAGTATAAGTCAATTTTACCTGATAATTTAAAAGGATTATACATTATCAGTGTGAAAATCCTAAACTCAATAGTTCTATATGATGTACGAAAAAAGGAAAAGGTTTTTCACAAATTAAAGTTTGCTAGTGTATAAGAAGGAAGCATATGTGTCATTGTAATATTAACGTAGTTAATGAACTAGTTTGCCTCAATGGTAAAGGGGTTCCTTCTACATTGGTTGATTTACAGTAATATTGAGCGTGTTTACGATGCTTAATTTGTTATTTGTATTTTTTTTTTTTTTTTTTTTTTGTAGCATTTGCATGCTAAAGCACTCTCACTATAGATGAATAGTTCACTCTCACTATAGATGAATAGTTTATGTATCTAGACTATATGACTGTATATTTAATTACCTGATCATTGAGTCAATGGTTGTTAAGCAAGACTCATGCCTAGAAATGAAGGTGCGGCATTTTGCTTGTCCGAGGATATTCTTAAAAAAGATTAAAATATAAAATTAAAGTCATTAGAAATATTTCAAATTATTAAAAATCAAAATAAAATTGTACAAGCTCATTTGACTCTCTAGACGTAAATATAAAAGCATATTTCATATTCTAAGGCACCAAATAAATTATGACTTGTATACTATAAAAAGTTAAGTCAAATGCTTAGAAGAAATTTAAAACATAAAGTTCTTGTCCTAAAATTTTACTCCTTCTTGGGGAATATTCGTTGCAGAAATAGAAATATCCGTTCGAGTTGCGCACTAATATGATAAATAAAATGTTTTTGGTTGTTTGATAAATAAATAAACACTTCTTTGAAAGGGAAATGAAGATGGGTGCAAAAGCAACTTCTTTTGTTATGGCCTGATTGGATTAGGTTCTTAATCTCAACTTTGGGGGGTCTAATTGAAATAAAATGTCATGGTCTGACTGGATTAAGTCCTTAATCACAATATAGTGGGGTCTAATTGAAATAAAAAGGAAATAAAGTCATCATTCTCTAGATTATTATATGCAAAAGCTCCTTTCTTCTTTCTACTTAACCCAAATATCCCTTGAATTTAGAAAGTTGCAGAAAAAAAAAATGTTTCCTCCGTTTAAGTTTATTTGTCCACTATTGACTTGGTAACCCCTTAAGAAATAATAAATAATATGTAATTTTATAATATCACCCTTAATTATTATTATTGAAAAACTAACTTTAACTATTAAAATTTCAACGTTGGGAAATGTTGAGTAAAATAGGTATAAAATGGGACGTTGGTTTTTCAAACTGAATAAGTAAAAGTGGATATCCATTTTAAATATAGAGGACAACTAAACTTGGACGGAGGAAGTAGTATTTGGTACGTCATATCTCACCCGCTTTCTATAACATAATAAAGAGATATATTCATTGCCTTGACAAGTTAGTGAAATTACAGAAATGATACATTCAATTGAAATGTCAATTTCCAAACGTTACTTTTAATACGTGCCGTCTGATTCCAACGAAGAGTTTGTGGACAGCATAATTCCTGATTTAGGTCTCTATTCAAACCGCTGATTATTGTACTCTTACTTTCTTGCATTAGCAACCATTGGATTGTCTATAGTGACAACGAGATGCTATTTGAGAGATATTCGATAGAACAGACGAGATATGCGCAAACTGATAAGAGGTTCACACGCTTTGGAGTGTGAAAAGTAAGCAAAGATTGTTGAAATGCAACGTTAAAAGACAGAGAAAAAGACTTCTTGAAATTTATATAATAAGCCAAGCACTGCACGAGTCGTTTAGTACACCATAATGACTCTGGTTTTTACTTTTAAAAAAACCGCCATTTGGTTGCTCACAACCTGAAAACTCCTATAGATGCTTTATTCTATTAACATCTTTTAAATATACAAGAGAGAGAGAGAGAAAAATCTTTTTTGGTTCATCCATGTTTAAGATATAGTGCTTATAATAACCATGCAGGTTTTAATGATGATTTATTATAGGTTGATTAATAATAACTTGTGGTCTTTGTTCCACGTAATTATTGCATGGCCATGCAGAGGAATGGTACAATTGCTGTTGAAGTTGTCGTGCGAGTAAGATTTCACGTATATTTTCGAGTCTTTGCTGGAGTAAAACCGATTCGGTTCGTAGCATCTCGTTGTTTCTCTGGACAAGTTGGCAATGATTGGTTACCAAGTGAACCCGGTTCTTTAAATCTCGGTTTTCGACTTTTAGCCGGTTCGCTTGGTTCCTTAAATTCTCAACATGTTTTTGTTTTCGCATGCGGGACCTTCTTGCTGACTCACGGTTCGAAATCATACGCTTCCGCTTTCTCTCGTTTATGAACGAAATATCCGAACCGGAATTTGGGCTGTCATTATTCATGTTTGGTTCATCTGAACCGGAGCTAGAATTAGGAGAATTAGATTTATATTTATCAGAACTTAAACCGGAGTTTGACAGGACCGGTTCAGGGGTTGGGGATTGCTTCGGTGAAAAAACCGATTCTACCCCTTGTTCTGGTAATATAAAAGCCGATTCGAGACATTTCCATGGGCTATGATTATTCATGTTCGGTTCATCAGAACCGAAGCTAGAATTAGGAGAATCAGGTTTAGAATTATCCGAACCTGAACCAGAATGAGAAATAACCGGTTCAAGGGTTGGGGTTTGATTTGGCAGAAAAGTCAATTCTACCCTTTGTTCGGGGAATATAAAAGTCGAATCGAAACAATCCCATGGAATGAAACCATCATAAAAAGAAGGAAATTGGTTAGAAAAAGTTCCATCGGAGGACAAAATAATGGCAGGGAAAGTGGACAACATGATCGGAAAATTTCTTATAGAGGGGGTTGAGAAGGTAGAACGAGAACAGGGAGGGAATAAGGTAAAGGGAGTAGTATTTAAAGGCAAGAAGGAAGGGGTGTGATGGTGGTAATCGAGGGTATTTTAGTCATTGCATAATATCTTTTGAGTCAGGTGGCATTATTGGGTGGGGCAGTAATTCGACTTTTAAAAGATTTGGTGTGATATAAGCTCCATTGGGCCCAGGGGCTAAAGCTTAGTCATGAAGAAACAAAATAGTGTGGGGCCCGTTATGTGCCAACGTGTCATGTTCTTATTATCGTTGTGTGCAAATACTCCATGGCGTGACACAAGAAAAAAAAATTAAATTAACTAATTTAACGGTCGTATTCTAAATTATGTCACATAAAATGTTAAGAATAGGAGGAGAAAATTGAGGAATTTGATACTTCTTCTATTCAAAAAGATTGACATTATTTTCCTTCGTTTCAAAAAGATTAGCATTTTTCAGTATCTTCTTAATAAGAAGTATTAATAACCACACAAGTGAGATGACATATTTCAGATCACAAGTTTTAAAATATTAATAGTCACACAAATACTATGAGTTAAATATATCTTAAAAGTCTTCCTTTTTTATTAAAGTATACGTCAAGTCAAATTAAAACAATCTTTTTAAAACAGATGAAGTAATAATTACCAATGCAGTGTAATCTATGGCGATCTTTCTCTTTTTTCAATAGTAATTTGTGAGAAGTGTAGTGGACTATTTGATATGTGATTACGTAATTGATCTTCCCTTTTTAACGTAAATTTTTTATCCTACTTCAAAGCTATTTTAGTACTCCATAATATGATTAAATCATGCAAAGTGCAATTAGTGAAGACATATATAATTCGAGTTGAAGATAGTTAGTGTCTCAACTCGTATATTATCATTGGAAGGTTGCATCAGCCACTATTAGAAATCCGTTAAATACTTATCAAAAAAATCGACCAACTTTGATCGGTTATGGCCAATTACCGACCAAAACGCGTCCATATATGGGTGGACGGTATTTTGATCGTCGGAATGGCTTACCGACCAAAGTTGGTCGGAAATTACCGACCAACGTTGGTCGGTAGCTTTAAACGACCATCTGACAATTTAATGATTTACCGACCAACTTTGGTTGGAAATATATTTTATTAATTTAATTTTACCGACCAAAGTTGGTCGGCGTATTCAATTTATATTTTTTTTATTATTATTAAAATTAAACAAAATCGACCAACTTTGGTCAGTAATTGAAAATATATATTTTTTAAAATAATTAAAATTAAATATTACCGACCAACTTTGGGCGGTAACCTCAACAGTGCAGGCAACATACCGACCAAAGTTGGTCGGTAATGTTGAATTCTGGAAATTCATCGTTCATTAACCGACCAACTTTGGTCGGTAAAATGCAATTAATTTATTTTTTCTTATTAAAAGCTGACCAACTTTGGTTGGTTTTTCTGGGTTTAATTTTGGCAAAAAATGCTTGTTTTGGTAGCTACACCACCTGCCAGCATACCAATACCCCAACAACTGAATTACAACAACAACACAATAATAACACAACAACAACAACAACAACAACAACAACAACAACAACAACAACAACAACACAACAACAACCAAACATTCAATAAATACTTTAAAACTAACAAACTAAAGTTTAATTGAGCATAACAATCCAAAACCAAGTTAAAACTAATTACAACAAGTTCAAAACTGGTTCTATTTGTCTAGTTCAACGTATAAAAGTCAAGGAGTATTTTATACAACATCATCATCACCGTCTGATGAACTTTCATCTACAAGACGGTATAGAGAACGGTCTTGTGGAGGACGGGAAGAACGATCATGGGGAGGATGGGAGAAACGATCACGAGTAAGACGGGAGGAACGATCACGTGGAGGTCGACCCTCTGGCGATGACTCGCGAGACCGGGGCAACGAAAAAGCTCCAGTAGATAGGAGAGTTCTGATCTGAGCTTGCATGCCAAGGAATTGAGCATCTCTAACCCTTTCTCTTTCCTTGGCCGCTTCTAGCTCGGATGTGAGCTTTGTCACTGTCTCCCGCATAGCAGAGAGGCTCTCTCTATTAAGTTGCTCGCCTTGTGAGGAAGTCCCTATTCTTTGCATTCACACTTATAGCGATGGAATTTTTTAGTAGAAAGCCCGTATACCTTCCTACATTTTGGACCGCCAACAAACTCCAACCATATTCTTTCAGCATCCTCGTCCGAAGGTTGGGTTGGCTTGCCACCGATTCACCAGCTGGATGACTACGACCTCCACGTTACTTTGGTCGCGACCCTATATTATTTTAAATTAAATCAATATTTCAAAATTCTTATAAAAGTAAATTATAATACTTAAAGAAAATTGAAAGCTTGCATATGCAGTCGAGGCCCGGTCCTCGACCCACCTATCTTGATCCGTCTCTTTCTTCTTCTTTACAATATGCATCTCCTTGAATATCTCATCATGGCTCATTGGACGCCCCAACTTCTTTTCCTGAAAATAAATTAATTTAGTTAATAAACAAAATAGATATACTTAGAAAAGTAAAATAATTTAAGCAATTACGTATCAATCTTCTTTTTATTGTCCCTAGGTTGATCGCACCTCCAGTGTGCAAGGAACCTCCCTTCTCGGATGCGCGAGCTTTCTTTCCTTTTTCGCTCTTCTCTAAGAACTCTGTGGTAAGCAATTGCCTTTGCAAATCATCCCATAAATTATGAAGTAACCAGCCAGGTCTCTTGTTCTTCTTTCTAGCTTTGGATAAAGCATGCGCCAATCTCTTGCGAGCTTTATGATGAAAATTTGCAGCCACTTCTGCGCTATAGCGGTCTTCCAATACACACTTGCTCTGTATTTCAAAAGTTAAATATTAGATGGAAACATAATAAATATAAATTATTAAACTGCTTAAAAGAATATTTATATCTTAAATTGATTAAAAATTTTCTCCTTCAGCGAGAATGGGAAATCAGTCCAAGTCGCATAAAGGCCATCATAAAGCTTTCTAATGGCATTGGTGATTATCCTCGTAGTCTTATTATCCGGCCTAAACCTGCAATTTAACAATAAAAATACATTAATATCTTAGTAAAAATGTTACAAAAAAATAGACGCAAAAATAACAAATAACTCTTACCCATCACCCTCAGGGACTATGATGATCCTGCCATATTGATCATAATGGATTACTCGTCATCATCGTCTGAAGCATGTGTATCAGAGGCATGTGCAGACGGTGTAGGGGGGTCAGAGCTACTGCCTCGCAGGCGAAGGCCTAAAATAGATGGAGTCAATGATGAAGATGGTTGTGATCCCTATGACTGCGACATAGCTGGATGCGACCCAAGTGGCTGTGATACCGAGGGTTGTGACCCGAGTGGCTGTGACCCGAGTGGATGTGACATGGATGGATGTGATCCATATGGCTGTGATATGTAGGGATGTGAAATAGATGGCTGCAATCCACGTGGCCGTGAGGCAGCTGGATTGTATGTCGGACGTATAGTCCAATGGCCCTGTGATGGAAGACCTGGTGTCTGGATGAAGGTGTAGGGCTCGTGATGCTGTGGCAGCTCAGTATAGCCATGTGGTGGAGGATAAGACATAGGCATCTCTGAAGAGGGTGGAAAAGAGGGAGTATTATTATCTACCATCCTCTTTCCCTTCCTAGCCTTTTCTCGACCCCGAGAACTAGTAGGGTCATTGTTACCTTGACCCTTGCATGCCATCTGCATAATATAAGAAGCTAGCTATAAAACGAGAGTGCTTTAAAAACAAACTTTTTAATCCTCATCGATGTATTGTTCCTCGTCCGAGAATTCTTCGTCCTCACTTGTTTGAGCTTCATTAGTTGATTCTTCATCCTCATTTTCTATAATTGTTACTTCATTTATATCAACTTCTTCCAATATGCGTTCAGGATGTTCCAAATCATTTTCTAACTAATCGTCTACTATTTGGTGAACACTGGAGATATCGTTTTGATATGCAACATCTAACACATTCTCGACATCCACCCTACCTATAGGCTTAATTTTTATTAGCACGCAAATTGAAATTCTGCTTGGTTGATATGTCATATGTTTCAACACCATCATATCACAACTGTTTTAGCTCATCAATCAAAGGTTGCAAATATACATCAATCAAACTTTTCGGATTATGTGGACCGGGGACAATACAATTTAAGAATATATATGGACTAGTCATACACAACTCAGGCGGTAGATTATAAGGTGTAAGAAAGACATGCCAGCATGAATATGGTGTCGCAGATATAGAAAAAGTCGTTAAGCCATCCGCACACAACCTAACCGAATGTTCCTTGGTTCACTAGCAAAATCAGGATATGTCCTATCAATGTGCTTCCAAGCTTCTCCATCTGAAGGATGACACATAACACCAGGTGGTCTTCTATTTTCAAAGTGCCATATTATATGAGGAATAGAACTCATCGACATATATAACTTCTTTAACCTAGGTATAAGAGGTAAATAATGCATCGCCTTGACAGCGACCATATTCCCGCTGGAAAGCCTCTTGAAACGAGACTTTTCGCAAAATTTACAACTATCTAAAGTTGCATCATCTTTATAATATAACATGCTACCATCTTCACAACAATCGATTCTTATTGACGAAAGTCCTAAATTAGAAACCAGTCTCTTTGCCTTATAGAAATTACCAGGTAAGTTGATATTAGGGTCTACTAGTTCACTCATTAGGTCAATGAAAGAGGCCATGGCTGCTTGAGAAATATTCCAATCAGATTTGATACTTAGTATTCTAACTGCAACAGACAGCTCAGAGTGCAGACTTTCGTCACGTAGTGGATGACTAGCTTCCTCTAACTGTTCATAAAAACGTTTTGCGTCATCATTAGGAGTTTGTTCAACATTTTCATTGGGCTCACCCCCGAAGTGCATCCAAAAAGCATCCGAAATCATATCCTGAATTCTAGAATCAAGATTTGTATTCTCCAACGACCTACTACTTTCACCAACAACCATGTATTGCAATATCTCACGGCTACCATCGACCTCTCCATGATTAGTCCACACAAAGTAATTCTCTATAAACCCCTTCCTATAAAGATGAAGCTTAACTTCCTCCGGTTTTTTAAACTTCATACAATCGCACCTGACACAAGGGCACCTAATTACTCCTTCACTTTGGTATGGTGGAAGTGACATTGCATGTCTAA